CACTACTTTGTGAACAGGTCTCTCAAGAAAGAACACTCTGCTAGAAGGTTTCCCTTTAATAAATGTTGTGTCACTGAGTCTTAACTTGAGCTTTCGGATCATCCCATCAGCACTGGGATAAACTTCCACTACCTTAGCGAGTTTCCACTCATTCCGTGGTGCACCATCATCTTTTAAAATGACAACGTCTCCTATTTGTGAGTTTCGTGTCTGTCTTTGCCATTTCTGGCGCTGTTGGAGATTCAGAAGATACTCTCGCTTCCACCGTTGCCAGAATTCATTTGAAAGATACTGCACCATTTTCCATCTCTTTCGGAGATATAAATCTTCTTCGCAGAACTGCCCAGGTGGAGGAATAAGGATGGAAGACTTCATGGTAAGTATGTGATTTGTAGTGAATGGTTCGGGACCTGCAGGATCATTGAGATGCTCAACACTTAGTGGCCGACTGTTTATTATGGCCATCGTTTCATAGAGGAATGTTCTTAGTGTTGTAGTGTTCAATCTGCTAGCGGATTTGTCAAGCATTACAGTTAAGATGCTTCTAATTGTCCGGATTTGTCTTTCCCATATTCCTCCCATATGACTTGAGGCAGGGACATTCATAATAAATTCACAGCCAAAGCAGCGTTGCTTTGATTGATCCATTGTGATGAGTAACTCCGCTAACTCTCTCCTCGCACCCACAAAGTTTGTCCCCTGATCGCATCTAAGCTGGCGGACTGGACCTCGAATAGAAACAAGAGTCCTTAATGCATTCATAAAGGCATCTGTGGTCAAATCTTCCAATACCTCTATATGTACTGCTCTTGAGCACATGCAAGTGAACAGTAGACCATACCGCTTTAGTTCCTTTCTTCCCTCCTTAACAAGGAAGGGTCCGAAACAATCAAGACCACAGTACGTAAAAGGAGGAGAGGCTTCTGTTCTCTCTTCAGGTAAGTCTGCCATTTGTTGAACTTCAGTTGGCCTCCTATGTTTCCTGCATTTTACACATTTGTATATGTGTGAAGACACTACATTTCCACATCCTAAAATCCAGTGATGGGCAGTAGCGCCGCTACATGTAGCG